CTCTGTAAAGGGAAGCAGCAGGAGAAAGGCAGGCAAGGGAGGGACAGAAGAACTGGTGGTAGAGAGTGGGGAGGAGGCATGTGAGTTAGGCAAGAGCCTGAGTGGGGAAGTGAGATGAACTAGGAGGGGAGAGAGATGGGATAGCAACAAGAGGAACTGAGAAGAGATAGGATAGCAATAAGGTGGGGGAGGTGAAAGTCTCCTAGCAGCCTCCGCGCACGTACGCGCGCACGCACACACACACAGTGTCTTTCTGAGCATCCAGTGTGGAGTAGGGATATTAGCAAACATGTTTTTTGGTAAATGCAGGGTGGGCAGGCAGGAGCTTTAAACTTCAGGTTTAAATGTCAAGCTTAAATGCATATGCAGAAACATAGACTTCCACACTAGGGTTGTTAGTGTGTAATTGTTTACACAATTAACCCATAAGCCTGGATTTAATTGGTTAATCCTAAGAACTACACACACCTTCCCCCCCCCCACCCTCCACTGCCTGTGTATCAGAGGCAGCGGGGGAGCAGGAGGCTCCCCGTGGGCACTGGCTTCCACCTCCCCCCACCCTTTGCTGCCTCTGATACAGAGGCAGTGGGGGTTGGGGGTTGCAGGTAGTCGTTAGGATTAACCTATCAAATCCAGGCGTATGGGTTAATTGTGTAAACGACTACATGCTAACCCCTCTGGCTGATCTCCTGTCTTCAGCCCTCTCCCAGGAACCATGGTCAGGCTCCTGGCTCTGGCCATTCTGCTCAGGGTGTCTTTCCTGTTGTTTTCAACCTTTTCTCTCAGATGGCCAGGATCACCCAGTACGCTCTGTCTGCCAAAGGGCGAAAGCATCCAGCTCCAGCAATGGCAGGTGACGAGATATTTCACCTTGTGCCTGTCGTTGATCTGGGGCTGAATGTTGCTCAACCTGTGCAGTGGAAGGGAGATTTCATATTGGCAGGTGACTTTCCCTTGGCAAGTTGCTGAGCGAGGACAGCTTAGAGGTAGAGGACAAGTCAAGGGTTCACAGATGGAAAATTGCACAGCAACGTGTTACACTTTATTATCTGCAGGTGTATCACACGAATATCGTCCTCACATACGGGTAAAGTTACAATAGTCTCTGTGCATGGATTAAGTGTCCACATGCGTATCTCTGTCCTGTTGTGTAGCTGTAGATATTTGTAGCAGAATTAATTCCCCAAACTATGGTTTTCTTCAGGCACAGAATCTTCCATTCATGACTTTTGCAAAAGCCCTGATGCCTTTTTTTTTTTCCTTATCCTGCCCATTCTTCCACAATTTAATCACCTTATCCCCAGAGCTTGCCGTTGTAGCCACCAGCGTCACTAAGGCGGTTTTGCCCTGAATTACTGTTTCCCGTTTGGGTCTGCAATTTCATCTTTGTAAGACCTGCCAGGCATGAAGTGACTCCTTGCTGCCATTCACAGGTAACGTTGTTCTTACCACTCTTCAGTGAAGATCAACAGGATGCAGCACAAGTTCTTCAAGATGTGCACGATTACAATCGGAGATTCTCAGGACAGCCCAGATCTGTAAGTCGGGGCCGGGGGAGAGGGGAGAGTCAGTTTATAATGTGTCATTTTCTTGCACATGGTTATTTTCTGTCCATAATTCATGCGAGATACAGAGGTTTGGTTTTCTAAATGTGAGTTCCTGCAGCTCAAACAAAGACATTTGTTTTTAACTGCTCATCGTATAACCTTGCATTTCTATTGTAATGGCATGGTACTTAGTACAGCCCTGACTCAGAAGAGCATCCTTTATTCAGGATGGTCAATTAAACATGGATTTAAGTGCTTTCCTGATTCAGGGCTCGAATTATTCATAATTAACAAGTGAAAAAAATATACTGTGTAAAGGAAAAATATTTCCCTTTTTGCTTACAGTATATAAAAACCCAGAACTGATTAGGAGGACTTTGCTTTGCTTTCTTCTGTGTTTGATAGCGCTCCCTTCTTTTGTAAATGTATTTTGAGTCCCTAATGGGTTACATGGCCATTCTCTTATTTTGTTCTCTAAATTTTTCCCTTTGAGAGTGTTATTTCTACAACTGCCATAATTAGAGTTGTAAGAACTTCAGAATGTACCCCTTGCAAGCTGCTGTCGTCACATTTGCGAGGCACAGTCCATATACGCAGACTCTGATCCTACAAATAAGATGTGTCCAGGCAGATACCAGCGATTTGAGTGGGGTTCTGCCTCCGCATATCTCATTAGTTTCTTATTAGGGATGCCACTCCAACAAGTTTACAATTTCAATGGAGAATGCAGACAATAAGAGAGAAAGGAAGTATTATTCCTACTGTACAGACACAGAGGTTGAAAGTCTGGTCCAAACCCCATTGAAATTAAGTGACTTCCATTAACTTCAGTGGGCTTTGGATTAGGCCCACAGCAACCACATGGTGGTGGACCCATGAATTGAACCTGGACATCCTGCCCTAGCATCTAACACAGTCCAGTGTCTTCATCACAAGATTTATCCTTCCTCTCGAAAGTGTTTTCTGAGCTCAGTCCATGTCTCCTTGTAATTTGTATTCTGTGGCTCTGTCTGCTTTGGGAAAGGAGCCGCGATTGAAACCGTGCTAACATTAAAAAATGGCTCCCACCGAGCCATGGCTAGTTATTGTGGTTGACGCTGCAGAATAAAGGGCAAAAAGGAACCATGCCTGGGATTATTTTGTTTTCTAATCTTAAAGCTTGAGCAGTCCCTTGACAAACCACATTTAGCCACAGCTTGTATATAGAATTGTTCGTTTTCAGAGGAGATGTAATCTGTTGCCACATGATTATGCCATCTCATAGGAATCCCCAGATTTCTTCCATATGCTTAGATTTTCCATGCTTCCTTCCATGGCATCCATCTCACTTGGTCAACATCTTGCTTTCCTGAAATCTGTTTTTGTTGATTTGCCATTTTTTAACTATAAACCACTGCATGCTGGGAACCTTCCCTTGACTCTAATCCATTCAAGCCACCTCTTGTGGTCATTGCTTCTAAACTTCTCTACTGTTAAGTATCAGAGGGGTAGCCGTGTTAGTCTGGATCCGCAAAAGCGACAAGGAGTCCTGTGGCACCTTATAGACTAACAGATGTATTGGAGCATGCATCTGACAAGGTGGGTCTTTGCCCATGAAGGCTTATGCGCCAATATATCTGTTAGTCTATAAGGTGCTACAGGACTCCTTCTCTACTGTTGTTACCTCTTCAGCCAGTTACCACCTATGAGTAAGAAATGGACACAGAGTGATTTCTCCACTGCTCGCCACTTGGTGAATCATAAGTTGCCTTCTGTGTCAATTCAGAACCTTTTTCATGCTAGTTGAACTGTTTTTTACTCCATAGGTGCCTGAGTATGAAAATCTTTCATGAATTCATTATACTGTGGTTTCAAATACCAGGTCTAGATCTTCTCAGGCGTCTAAATGGTGGTAGATGTCAGTGTCGTGCTTTAAAAAAAAATCCCATTTAAGAAGTATGTATTTTGTCATTTTAAATGCTGCTGCAAAAGATTAATTTACCTCTGTTTTGTTTGTTCCTAGATAATGGAAAGAATTATGGATTTACCCACTTTACTGCGGCATGCTTTCCGGGAGATGTTTACTGTGGGGGGCCTTTTCTGGATGTTCCGTGTCAGAATATTCCTCTGCCTGCTAGGAGCTCTGTTCTATCTGGTTTCTCCTCTGGATTTTCTTCCTGAAGCCCTCTTTGGAATTCTGGGATTTTTAGATGATTTCTTTGTCATCTTTCTGCTGCTGATCTACATCTCTATCATGTACCGAGAAGTGATAACACAGAGACTGAATAGATAATATGAGTGGAAACAACCATGAAGCAGAAGTTTTTGTAGGATGCTGAACAAAGGAAGCTAGCTGGGCACAGTGTGACATAGCAAGGCATCTGTATAAGCTTTCAAATTAAATAGCTTGTGCTCAATCATTTTATGTAAATGTGAGGGATTAAAATGGGGTGATGCTTAACTGGAATCTTTAATTTGTGGTTTGCATATGCTTAAATTTTGAAGAGGTTAGATTTATGATGCAATAAATTACTTACATTTGCTTACACCCAGTGAGCAATTGTATGTAATGCAAGATAAAGCTAGTTATAAAATGCCTCTTCAAGTGTGTAGTTTGTGAAAGGGAAGTTCTATTTAAGTGATATCAGGACTTCAAACAAAAAAGAATTCAGATGAGCTTGATGCATTAAGACACTTCAGAATACTGTATAGCTCCTCAAATTGCTTAATGTCTCACCATGGTGGGTCATAGTATTTTTAAATAACAATAGTTTTTCATGTCTCTCTATGCAAGAAGAAATCCAAAGACAGCATTACAGTTGACACAGTGAATTTTACTGCCGTACACAATTCATGTTGCACAAATAGAGGGGAAAAACTTCAGTATTGCTTTAACTGCACTATGTATAATGATATGTATTTCCAACTATTTTACTTTCCAGTTTTGAAGAAAGGGCTTTCCATTAGCGTCCAGATGAAGAAATCATGAATAACCAATGCTTTGGTGACTAACACTGAATAATATTTTTTCACATTGGTTTTGTGTACTTAAGCAGTATTTGAACATTGAGTAAGTTGCACTGTTGTAAGCCCTACTTTATACCTGTGCTACATATTTAAACTGGAGGTTTGCATCAGTGTACAACATCGGAGTAATTTACCACTTCAAAAAAACCCTAAGATTTATGGTAGCAATTTGTTTAAAAGTGGGAATACAGAGTGTATGTCATAACTGGATAATTTTACCTGAATATGGATGGTAATTAATAAAGTAATTAAAGTATTTACATGAAAACAATAACTTATTTCTCACAAGTTAGTACCAATAATTTTTTTTTAAACCAGTAACATGGGACCAAAGAAATCTGCTGGAAAATGAAAATCATTGTAAGATATTTGCCCCTAATGTTTGGAATTTGTGGGTATTTTTAACACCAGATATCACAAGCTACAAAGAGAATGATTTGAAAATACTTTCAGTGTATGAAGTCAGAGCTGGTAGAAAACTTAAAATTTGCAAGCCATTTTGTGGGAATTCAGAACTTTCCAGCTGGAGGAAAGAGATATTTTTGAAGCAAAATAGCAAACATTGTAACTTTCTGAATACTTGAAAATAAAATGACTACAATAAGAGAGCCTTCGTATGTTTACATACTGTGGGTTGGGATATACTTTGAAACGGTCTCCTTTAATGTGGTCTCCATTTTTTGATCATGCAAATACTGAGTTCTTATACACGTGTGGGAAGATTGTAGGGTTTTTTCATTGAGTGCTGTTGGTTAGTGGGTTTTGCAGAGTCTGTTAATTTTGTGTTGTCATATCAGTGCTTAAAGTGCACATAGCCCTCATAAATATAAACTGGGGGGGTTTAAGTTTGCCCTGGAATATCCAAAGTTATGTTGTTGATGAAGTGGATTGCTGAACCTTTCTTTGCATGTATCCTCTATTTGAGATGGGTGAAGAGAGAGAATGGAGGAGATGCATACAAAAATAATTTAAAAAGAAAAAGACATTTTACTGAGCTTATGCTGTTGCCTTTGGCTGCTGTTAGTGTTTTTTAGCATCTCAGCTTTTCCCTTCATTTTGTCATCACTAATAGACAATGACAACTTGTTGACTATCTCAATCAAAATCAACATGATATTATGTGAATCTTGCTTGATGATCAAGGATTTTGAATCCTGCCTGATATACATGTTAAGGGTGACAAAGTAAGGTATGATGGAGAGACAGGTGCATGCATGTATGCTTTGCTGCTGTAGGCAAAGCTCTCCTTCAAGAGGTCCCACTTGATCCTTTCAGAGGGTGCCAATATTGAATAGATGGTTGCAGGACAGATAAACTCATCCTCGTACATTTTTTGAGGCTTGGCCATCATGAGTCCTGTGTCCAGAAATAACTTCCTCTTTACTTCCTGGGAGCACTTCCAGACTAGTCTTTCTAGAGTCCTTTCCTAAACGTGATATCCCACTTATCTCTTTCTCCCACGGGTCCTTTCACATTTTTGCTCTTGCCGCTCTTTACATCTGGAGTACCCTCCCTTACCTGATCTCTGAACCTCCTCATTCAGAGCCCCCCGTAGACCCTCTTCTGCCATGATGCCTATGCAAAACTAGCCAACTAAGGAGTCTGTTCATAAAGTGTGTGAGCTCCTGCATAACCTGTCACTGAGTAAATGCATAATCTTACTGATATTACTCTGTTTCCTCCCCTTCCTTTCTGTCTTGCCAAGTCATGCCTACATTTAAGCTCTTCTGGGACCAAAGATCCTGCCATCTTTCTGAGTGGGAGGCACTCAGCTCACCTTTGGGGGCTGATAGAAAGAATGTAGGCTTCAATTCAGCAAAGCACGTAAAGGGTATGTGGACAAGTGCTTGGCTGAATTGGGGCTGACCATCCTAAGTATAAAAACGGCAAATCGATGACGTTCTAAACCCATCAAGTGTTTGTAGTATGGAAAAGTTAAGTACGTCGTTTGACACTTTTCAGCTCTCTAGGTGTAAGGAGGCAAGAGCTAGGCTCAACTCTGTTATCCAGGAGCCGAGAATGCTGCCAGCATGCTAAGTTTGCTGTTTTGCTTTGCATCCCTGCACTCTTGCTAAAATACCTTCCTTCTCCAGGAGAAAATTCTTCACCAAGCCACCGGTTGTCAACATTTATGGAACAAATGACTTGAGCGTGCTGCCCTTATTGCAGACGATTCTGTTATTGTGTGGAAATGTGTATATAGACACATGTAATTTTCATGCACTCGACACCCGTATGGATGCTTCTGTAATTCATAACAGGCCTCCTCAGAAAAATGGACCTGCAGTCCCTATTGCCGTAGGCTCTGAGCCCCACCGCTGGATGTGGGTACTTCTTGAAAGTCACCAAAGTAGAAGACATGACCGTATCTCATCTCTAAGAGCCACCATTACACTACAACTCAGTACAACCACCAGAAGAGCATCAATAGAGGGGAGTCTTTTTATGAAAGAGCCCATCATGAACAGAGTCCTCACACACACCCCAAAGAAAGGGGGGCACTGTTAGCATAATTCATCGGGATTTTTCTCCCAGAATCCTGAGCCTCTGTGGCCTAGATAAAATTGAAAGACTGACAGCAGAAAAGCACCAGTGGGAAAAATGACATGCCCTGAATGACTTTCACAGCTTTCCAGTAAGCCATAAATATTAACAAGGAAACAGTCCCAACCATACGTCCTAGCTCCCACAAAATATCCTACAGCACCCTCAGGCTTCACAATGACCTTATCTCAAGCACTGTATAGAATTCTGTTGTCGGGTGGTTGTGACTTGCAGCATTCACATCTCTGATTACACTAGATGGGGCTAGAAGTTGATAAGACTGTTGCTGATGGTCTCCCAACAGCTGTTTGGGACTAGGGTCTCTGATATACTAGAGAGGCTTCTAAAGCAAAACCAGTTCTAAGCGGTTTGTTTTTTTATTGATAATAAATCACTTATAGAACAAGGTTCTCCTTTTTTGGGGTTGGACTCTGTTTTGTTCTCTTCCCACAAACTTGGTTACAGACCCTTTTCTTTAACAATACAATCTTCCAGAGTTGTCCTCACTGGAGGTTCGCTCCTTAGAGCAACACAGCTGGAGCTGACCTATCTTAGAGATGGGTTTTTTATTTTCTTAACCTTGGAGGGCATTAGTAATAGGATGAAACATGGACCAGGTCTCCCAGAGCATCGCCTTTGGTAAGCATAAACACTGCTCTGTGCGTCTTCTAGTGAGTTTCTTCAATCTCCCAGGCGCAGTGAAACTCCCAGAAGAAGCCAATGCAGATGGTCAATTATCACAGAAAAAAGAAAGCCCAAAGTAAAATAGGAAAAAGGCGCCAGCCCTAGACACCTTAAAAGAAGAAAATCCCCAAGCGTGGCAGGCCAGTGGGGGAATCCTGTTGAGTGAGTCAGACAAGTTGAAGAAGGTAATCTCACAGTGTTTGTAGGGAGTCAAGCAAAGGAGAGGCCATGGGCACTGCAACCCATTTCCACTTGGACTTGTAAGTCGTGCTAGAGGATTTCTGAGATTCTAGAAAGACATGGACCCACCTGTTTAAAGATACCAGGCCTCTGACTGGACCTGTCAGGAGCTCCTAAGTTGGGCCAGAGTGAGGCAACCAGGTCACAGCACCTGCCCAGAATGCAGGAAGACCCATTCTGATCCATAGTAATAGAGATGCAGTCGTGTTAGTCTGCTCTTGCTGAAACAAGACAGGACTATGCAGCACTTTAAAGACTAACAAGATGGTTTAATTTCTTCCACAATGTGATCTGAGGAAGCGGGTCTGGCCCACGAAAGCTCATCCCCTAATAAACCATCTTGTTAGTTTTTAAAGTGCTGCCTAGTCCTGTCTTTTGTTACATTCAGATCCACTGAGCTCTGCAGCGTTCTGAGGTGGGGCCCTCAGTCTTGTCTGCTGAAGCTGTTCCACTTTGTATGAAATATTTAGGAGCCCCTGGACCAGAAGAAGAATTCTCGGCCTGGTGAGTAGGGCACTTGATGGGAAGGAGGGGGACCCAAGTTCAGGGTCCTATTCCAATGACTATTTAATTAGTGCTACACCATGGAACAGGGCATGTGGGAGGCCTGTGTTCCACACCAACAAAGTAGGAAGGGGGTTGAATTTGGCTCCCAAATCTGGGATAAAGGTTCTACCCACTGGACTAAAGATTGTGCGGGGTGGGTGGGGTGGGGCTACCTCCAGCAATCCAATAGGCAGGGCAGCATCTCAACTGGGGATCCCACTGGCAAACTGTTAGGGGCCTAAAGGACTTTTATCAATGGACATTTAGGCACAGAGGGACTTTTAAGCACCTGCAGGATTAGGTGGCAGCTGGGGTTTTGAGGCTCTCCATTTTGGAGGCAAACATCCGACTGCCTTTGTGGCTCTCATCCATCGTTTACAAGAGCAAAGGGGATGAAAAGAGGCATCTCTTCCCAGAGCTTTGCAGAGCGCGACGTTGACAGGAAAAGGGAGGCCACTGGAGGGTCTGATGTACAGATGCACTGCCCCCTTTTATCCAGGATAATCAGTCGTCGAATTTGGTGCTGCCAAACCATACTCTACAGATGCTGACCGTGCAGCCATTGTTTTGTTCGGCCGCGTGTAACACGAACCAGTTAGGCGGTGGAGATCATTCCCAAGAGCTCAGCAAGATTCAGAAAAGGGGTAAACATTTTGGTAGAGCATAAGAACATCCAGAGTAAAATGCAGTGAGATGGGCAGCAGTATAAATCCTTAAGCTTCAGTTATAAGCCAACCTCTATCTAGCGGGGCAATGAAAGGAAACTTTCCTAGAAACTCATCCTCTCCTAGCTACTGCAGGGTCCTTTACACCTTCCTCCAAAGCAAGTGGTGCTGGCTACTGTTGGAGACGTAATACTGGACCCATGGGCTCTGCTCGAATCCAGTCTCTTATTTCCTATTATTTCTAATCCATGCTCACTTTCTGCACCAGCCCATCTTGCTGACTTGCTTCCCTCGCCCCAGCATTTTCAAGAGTTGCAGAACTGAAAAGGGAAGATGACTAACTTTCTCAGGGCATCTTAATGATTATTTACCATGTGTTCCATTTTATTACAAAAACCTCAATGTTTGTCCCTTGTTTTCCAAGAAGATGATTTGTTTTTCATGATTAACAGATGCTTAATTGGTAGGAGGAAAGAAGGGGGTGAGGGAGAATATTGAGCCAATTGTGCAGTGCTGGCAGGTGACTAATGAGGAGCAGTGGGTATATCAGGTGTTACTAAGAGTTTGGCTAGAATATGTGGTGCAGAAAGCTGTTCAGCTTCACACTGACATATGTTGGGCTTCAGATGCAAAAATCTTATTCCTCCCTCCCACTCTGGAAATGTACTTGCTGCATTTGCAATAGAGGGAGCTAGGAAAGGCTCACATTTCAACTTGTATGTTGTCACATTTTGTACTGGAAAGTAACAACTTGCAAGTCCTGTGGGGAAACAGCTTTCAGCTGTGGAAGTGACTCCCCTACAGCCCAAGGATCTGTCCCTACAGGTGGTAAGTTCAACACCCTGCCTGACTCCCTCCAGCGTGGGCACAAGAAGTTAGTAGGATAGTTTGTCAAACTCTGTTGCATTTAAAAATGAGTGGTCCTGA